CCCGTATAAACACTAACAAAGGAATTTCAAAAATTGCATGGATGTCGACGATTCAGAATGGGACTGTGCACGTCACTGCATTTTTGTTTTTCGAAGAACTGCACCTTGCTCCTCCTAGGCAACTCGAAGTCGCTGTCTCCGTAATTTTGGCGCACCCTGTACATTTATAAAATGTCATTGTTTGTTATCGTTCATCGTTTGAAATCGACAAAACTTACAAATAGCGCTTCCCTGCGCTTACAAACCACTCCCCTTCCTTCCCCATCCTTGGACACAAGATGGTCGGCTTAGGGCTCAGAACCCAAGCTGTGAGGAAGAAATGGAAAAAAAGGAAACATTTTCAATGGTGAGCGGTAGTTATAAAAAAGTATTCGTCTTGTCTTTTCTTTTTGATTCGTTAGAGTTGATTTTCATTTCGTTTCCTTATTCAGTTGAATTTTTATTACTGCAAGGCGCTTCAGCCGCTCAGAAGGCGGACGTGTTTATCGCTATAATGCAAGCTTAAGTGCCTTCACGGCTATTGTTCCATATTGCCTAGGTCTTTTTACAAAATCCTACCGTTCAACAGAGAGCTGACTTGCGCAGCTCCTTTCATTTCAAGCGTAACTTCGTGGAAAGATGAAGAATGCTACGAGGAATTGCTCGTTCTCGTGATATGCGCACTTCTACCCTGGCAACGTGAACAACGTTCGCTAATCTTATCCAGCCAAAATCTCGCATCGTAAACCAGAAAGGGATTGTAGTGTTGAAATGGCAGCAAGGACAGAAGAGCTAGAGCTTTCACCCTAATGAGTTTACGGCTCATGTACTGTTTTGTGCACACTTACGTAGTGCGATCGGCTATGCCTAAACTGCTAGAAATGTCCCAGACATTAGCGTGTCCTTTTCTGGGATGAAGAGTTGCCCTACTAAGGCGATCTGAGTCATCCTTCCTGAGCTGTTATTTTGCTGGCCGTGCAGCGAATTGAACACTAAATGAATGACAACATTCAAGAATCTGCAGACCACAGCAATCGTGAATAGAAGTCGAATCGGTGGCGCGATCCCAGAGGAATGCAAACAAAATAGGAAATAATTTTTTGCAGAGAGAAACCATTATTTCTAAGAGCTTTTAGCGTCAAACAACCAATTCCCGGAGCTGCTCAAAGCACCTAACCTCCAGTGCTCTTTGTATTACTAGAGTCAAGGTTCTGACGAATACGGTTCAGCATGACGCGTGAGAACACCTGGAGCATTGCCGATAGAATAGGAATTGTGCGATAATTAGCCAGAATGTCGCACTGTCCTTTTTTGTGAATTAAGATAGTGTTGAAACCAAGCCAATCTTTTGGAACAGTTCTTGATGCAAGTATTTCTGTAAATAAGTCGGCTAATGACTTCGTGAGAAATTCTTCCTTTTCGTTCCTTCCACTTTTCGTTTGTCGGATAGCTTGTGCCACCTCTGATTCAAGAACTCTCCATTCTTCCTTGAGCAGAAGAAAGCCGCTCGCTCACATTATGCTCACTACGCAGAATATCGTCATTGTCGACGAGATCAAGAACACTATCCCCCCCCCCAAAATGAAATTGATCATAGGTGTCGCTTCATGTTGCCTGACAAAATTTTCTGATGTGGTTGATGAAGGAGTCAGTCAGAACTCGCATAATAGATTAGCGAGGACTGTTTAAATTGCATGTAGAAAGATTCTTGTCAGATTTAAGCAAAGGTTCAAAATAAAGTGACCTTCTGCTTCCTACTATGTACATACAACGTCATTTGAAAAGTTCTTTCATTCGAATTCATCCAGTTCTGCTCTTGTTCCCTCGATACCACTCGAGATGAAAAGTCGAAGCCTGCTGTCAACATCCTATCGGACTGACAGCAGGAGATCGTGTAAAATGGTGTGCGCATAGAGCAAGCTGCGGGAAGTAATCGTGTCGATGGGTTGCGACAAGTAATACTTGGTTCAGATAATCTAATGCAAACGTTTTTTGAGGCTTGCTCTGTGAGATATAACTATCAAACCTTTTTTTCCTTGAATGTTGTTGTGAATTTTCGTATAATTCCGTTTTCTCTCCGGGTTCGGATGAGAAAAGTTTTTAGTTTTAAGTTTTAAGGTGCATTCCTTCCTCCGCTTGTCCCTGAGTTGACGGCCTGATAGCTGTCAACTCATTCGCTACTGTGGCGTGGCGTGTTGTATAAGATTGTATGAGTTTAATACAGCACGCCAACGAGACAACGGAAAGGTAAGGTCTGCATGAGAGAAAAGTGGAGAAATCTATCAATTCACCTCTAAGATTTTACCTCTATGAGTAGTAATAACATATTCCCATGAAATGCTTGACGCTCCCGGACCTGATACTTTTGCGAACAATTTTTTTCAGCTTTTACATGTGAGCACGTAAACATCATTATAGCGAAATCTGGAAGCTATTAAATCACCAACTATGTGTCGAAATAGTTCCAAACCGTCTATTAAATATGTCAAAAAAGCCTATCATCTCGCACAAAACCATATCCAAGACTTTGGTAAGAAATTAAATATATGTCAAGTATTTTGAGAATGATTGACGCTTAACTGGCAGTTTGCGGGGACCAGCGCCGATTCACTGTTGCGCTTGTAAATACTTGTAATACTAACAACAACACAATGAATGAAATGAAATGAATGTTCGCCCAAGTTAAGTGAACCGTCCACTCCCAGGGTAGGTCGATTGCATCACTTAGAAAATGATCTTCTACGAGATAGAACAGTGCACTGGAAATGAATTGCTTAGGTTACTACCTCACTACAACAGACTTCGAAAAGTGTGTTTTTACGAGAAAGAGCTTTGCGGATCATAACCTCAACTAATCATTTATTCTGCTAACTGCCACGTAACGTATACACTTGCATGATTCAACATGTTCACACAGTGCGCATCATTCATGGTTAGAGCTTCAAAAGAGAATACCAGCGAAAAGATTCTGCTGTACTCAAACCACTGATTTCGTTTCTCTGATCTTCTCCCTTCACATGTAGGAAGTGGGTGTTGAACAAGAGGTATAAGCTGGAGTCGAAGATGAATACCATCGAAGTGGATTAATTTTAGTGCGGTGTTCGAGTAATTACTACTTGAAGCTTCAGAACACCTGTAATGGAGAAAGAACTTTAGAGTGCTTTGACCCGTGACATTCTGACTGCTACTTAGCATTCCAAGATGTTCATTCAATGCACGGAACGCACCTCAGCACAATAGCGGCGTAGATAATTCGCGTCACATCCTACGTGGCAGCACCTGTTGCTGATTGACCCGGTCTTCAACTGATCTGAAACGCACTGAAGTGAGCACAATAATGGCGAAAAGCTGCAGCACACGAAGCCCACTGTCAGCATACAATGAGAAGTGTCATTTGAAAGTCTTAGACAGGTCACTCCTGTTACGAGATCAACCAGGGGTGAAACAGTTCACGCTTATAAATAATCAGCCCATCTATCTACCAGAGCTGTACTTGGAAATTTTCGACCTCTGACTTCAGCAGACATTAGCATCATTCACACTCAAAAATAGAGAATTTAATGTGGAACTAAATATTAATTGGTCGAGGGATTAGTCAATAGCTGTGTGCGATCGCTTCGGGCATGTCCGCTTTGCTACCGCTTCACAAATATCAAACGCACTGGCCGCTGGCGTCATCAAACATCCTTAGTAGGCATTCCACTTGTAGCAGGGGACAAAAGAGGCTTGTTGGGCCGTTTTTTCCTGTGAATGGTCCCATTGCGCGCACCGAAGCATCATCGAAGCAAGTTATCGGTGTCCAAACGTAATTCCTTCTCCTACTTCAACCGTTCTTCTGCTAGGTACAAGATCAACCTCGTGAATAAATTTTCGCAGCATCGCTTGTAAGTTTTTAGGGACGACCCATCATTCTAAAGCATTAAAGCATAAAGCATTTGCCATTGATCAATCCCTTCTTAAAATGCGGCACGCATTCCACTTCCATATACATTCGTAGTGGCATTTGAATGCGATGTGGTCTATACAATGAGTTGCGGGGGCCTCCGATGTACAGGTCAGTTTTTTATCCTCCCAGACGAGTCTGGTACCAATTTACCGACCCCAGAGGGATGGAAGGCTTGGTTGGCCCGGGCGACTCACGACCCAGGATTTGAACCCCGGACCGCTCGCGTGGTGAGCGCGCCACTTGTCAATACACCACTTCCGCCCATCATTCTAGAACGAGAAAATGCAGTTCACCTGACGACTTGACAGCACCGCACAGTGCGGTCAACGCCTCTATGATTTGCATGCCGCAGTATCGTCGGTGTGTTGAAGAATGGATTGTGTCGACGACGGTGGTGGTTAGAACCGTTGCACAAGTCACCAAGCACAGCAGACGAAGCATCACTTCAAACTGACACTCTTAAGCCAATTGACTGGGCGGAGCAAGCGGTTGAGAAATCCGAGCAGCATGAGTGATCAGCCGAAAGAATATCCGCAGAGGGCAAGCGGCTTTACTATGAAGCGAACAAATCTCGTTCACGATAAGCACGATCGCTGCGTTTTTTGCGAAGTAGTGCGAAATTGTTGCAGAATTATACTTTACCAGTTTGGCTTCGCACGCAACCACGCGTATGACATCAAAGATTCCGCTGATACTGGACGGTCTGTAGAGCGCTAGGCTTCACCACTAAGAATAAAGTTGCTTCACGGAATGCGTTCAGAGTTGGCGATTGTATGCGATTAGGCGATCAGGCGATTAGGCGATTGCGATTGTTACATATTGATTGGTTCGCCCATAGAGCGTTGTAGGCGAGTGGGCGAGTAGGCGATCGCTCCATGGGCGGAGCAACAAACCAATACGTATCCTTCTCTTATCGCCTACACGCGTACTCGACCAATCAACCACTCGCTTGCTCGGCTCATCGCCTAATCGCCAAATCGATACTTATATTGTTCGTTTCGAATCATTACCCAGGTTTGAGGTACTAATAAGATACGATATGAATAAGATGAGATAGGATTAGATAAGATTCAATTCGAAGTCATTGAAATCATAGGAGATTCTGGTAAATGGAGGAAACAAGTAATTGAAAATGGGGCATCGACGTTCAAGCCGCTTTCAGTTGTCGATTCCAAAACCCGACATTGTCATGGCATGCATAAAGCAAACTGCATTATAAACAGCGATTGTTCAGTTGCTTGATATACTGCGCAGAATGAAACAAGGAGTCTACTGAGTCATCAGACGTTGGTTTTTACCCAAAGCCCGGCGCTGGGCGGTCTGACCCGACCACCTCTTCGGTTCCTGGTCGCGCCACCGAAAAAAAAGTAAAAGGAACCGAAGGGGTGGTCCGACCCTTTGGGTCCCGGTGGCGCCACCCTTTTAAAATAAAAGGGAGCGAGAGGGGGAGAAGGGTCAGACATTTTTCGGAGATCTCCAAAAAAGGAGAAGAAAGCAAGAAACTAGGGGATCCATGGTCTTCAGGAACAAAGTTTCGAAAATCTTGAGACCCTTTCTGAATTGGTTGAACCATTCATGACTAATTTCGTTCACTTTCGTTTATTGGTCAGGCGCACAGTCAACGAGGCAGTGCCTCTCCATGTCGGAGTGGTTAGGTGTGATGCCTCATGTACGAATGGTCCAGGGTTCCAGTCCTCGTTGAAAAGGAGATTTTGCATGCGTAGAGTGCTTCAGTTTCGTACCCTTTCGCTTATGCAGTAGGCTCAAAGTTAGGTGAGAGAGCGTCTCACCATGGCGTAACAGTCAGGTGTCTGGTCTCATGCTCGAGGATCAAAGTTCGAGTCCTTGCTGAGGCGGATTTTTTGCGTAAATTCAGTAACCCACACATACGTACACTATACGATCACATTTTTTTTAGCGAAGCCCTTCCAGATAGCTTCACCCACCAGCGATTTCTGTTCACACACACACATGTGCTACATCCTAATATGCTTACTGTTAACATTGCGCACGGCTTCTTCACTACAGAAATATAGAATAACAATTTAAGTTAGAATTTTCTAAGGAATCACGAATCAGACAGCCACGAAACTTTGGCTTTAGATAACCCGTGGCCAACTACCCCTCACTGCTACATAAAATTCTGCCCTACTCCGTCTTGCATAGCAGAATAGTCCACAATCAATTATACGGTGCATAGTCAAGTTGGTCATCAATCTGTTGGTTTAATTGCCTCAAGTTTGAGGTACTAATAAGATACGACATTAATAAGATGAGATAGGATAAGATAAGATTCAAGCCGAAGTCATTGAAATCATAGGAGATTTTGGTAAATGGAGGAAACAAGTAATTGAAAATGTGGCATCGACTTTCAAGCCGCTTTCAGTTGTCGATTCCAAAACCCGACATTGTCATGGCATGCATAAAGCAAATAACTGCATTATAGACAGATGAAGTTCGAAAATTGTAAAAGTTAGAGAATTTCTGCCTAGTAAAGATTTCATAACTTGTTTTGTTTCCCGATCGGGAGTGAATACATGGAATGTTACTGGGACGCTAATCAATTCATTTTACCTTTCACACCCTGAACATCTTCTAACACCGGCCATTTTTACAAGATTTTGGGCCATTTGCGGAGATTCCAACAGAGCCTGATCCTTGTGCAACTGCTTCAACTGATCCCTCCACGTCATGGAATCGTTCGATGTAACACACTTCATAGAAACGTCTCTGAGGATGTCATGGCAAAATGGAAAAGCCTGGAACACGTGTTCCGAATTTCTGAATCAGCAGTCCGATAATAAGCCGACGGAGAATGACTCGCCTTCTTGAATGTCCAAACACACGTCTCACAAGGTATCCACAGTACCAGGCGGTATCGAAAACCTAGAAAGAAAATATCGTCCACGGCAGCTCGGCCCACTACTCAATCATCAAAAAGGCCACTGTCTGAAACACGTTTGGCTGCTTCAGCAGTTTCATCGAGAGGCGTTTACGAAACGGAGATAATGACATTTTTCAAGCGTATCGCGCAGGAACATGGTTACGTGCAATATGGGCATTCGACATGGCATAGACGACTAGCTTGGACTCAAAACGTATAACGAAAAGGAACGCAAAGAATTTTGCTTCCTTTTCAACTCTGACCAGACGAGTACTGCGATTTGCGTCTATCTACGTAAACGGATCTCCAGGATATTGTGAGCATGGTCGAGATTCCTACCACAAATTTTATAAGCCGGTTGGTCCGAAATCATCTTTGTGCCCGACTCTGCCTAACTCCTTCCCCTTTTCGCCCTTTTGGAAAAGATGACGATTGCATATGTCAGGAGTCGATTACCTAATAACACGGTAACTATGTGGGGAAGAGTGTGTAGAAGAAATGGGCAGTCCATTCTGCGTAAGGATCAAGGAGCAATTAGACGTGCTCAAAAGGGCTAGAATTTCCACACCTCTAGGTGTCAGTATAGTATACACACAGTGTCATGAAAACAATCACATGGTGGTGACGGTCACGATCATACAGGCAGGTGATATCTGCTTGCAGAATCCTTGAAGTCATGTGGATTGCAGCAAAGCATCTAAAGATCAACGGCAAAGACGAGTGCGTGGCGATTTGCTCGAGTGGGCGCCAGCAACGTCTCCATTCCTCCCTGTCGCGTGCTAGAGTGGTCCAGTGGATCCTCCTTGCTCGAGAGATACGAAGCCGTTCAATCCTTTCGTTCAGAGCTTTCGTGAAGAAGTCTGAGACCATCGGGCCATCGGTCGATCGTCCAGGTGTTCGTTTGACGTACCGAGGGATCCAGTCGGTAACCACTCTGGTCTAAAGGTCATCGCAAAGTCGCATGACGTGTCCGCCCACCTCATATTCAATTCCTTGGCAAAAACGGCATCGTCCCTGATCTTCGATCGTTGGCGTAGTTCCGAACTCCGGATTCCCCTCTGCACTTGCATGCATGAGGTTACCCCTAGCGTCCTCTCGACAGCACGTTGGATACCGCTGACCGCATGCTCGTCCTGCCTTCGCAGAGTCCAAGTCTCTGAGGCGTAGGTTAGGGCAGGAAGGACTGCAGAATCGAAGAGGCGAGCACGGAGGGGGGAGAAAAAGTTCACCGGCGGCGCGGATGCGAGCGCGTGTCGTTGACGTCAAAATGACGTCGCAGCTGCGGCAGATTAGAAAGAATTCGAGCAGTGGCCAGCGCGGATTACACTTTGCTTGAACAAAGTGGCCTTGGCACTATACCAACTTGTTCAATCAGTTGTGCTGTGAGAGAAGTGAGTGTGTTATGTTCAGCTACCATCCTTGAGAAATTGAAATTTCCTGAAAACGTAGTGCAAGTCGAAGCTCTCATGTGAAACTTTAGGGAGTATTTGGTCATCAATTTGAATGAGCTGAGTGTTCTTCGTGTTCGATTCATACTTACTTCTACTTATCCAAAGTTAAGCACGGTAGATGCTCGGAAGACATAATGTGTTGAGGCAATGGTGGGAAAGCTAGCCCTTGCTCGTCGCACTTATGACATCACCAACACGCAAACACGTCCGCGCCGCCGGTGACCTTGTCTACGGAGCGGCTGTTCTTCGTCTTCTTCACTACTCCCTCGATGTTCTCGTGCTATCGATCGATATCGATTGAAAATATTAGTTTTTGCGCAGAGGGCTCGAATGAGGTTGGGGATCACAGTATTGACTGGGTGCTGTCACGGAAAAAGAATTTTTATAGGGTCACGTGATATCGATCGATATCGATTGAAAATATTGGTTTTTGCGCAGAGGGCTCGAATGAGGTTGGGGATCACAGTATTGACTGGGTGCTGTCACGGAAAAAGAATTTTTATAGGGTCACGTGATATCGATCGATATCGATTGAAAATATTGGTTTTTGCGCAGAGGGCTCGAATGAGGTTGGGGATCACAGTATTGATTAGGTGCTGTCCAGTGCGCTGAGGAGCTGGAAGTGGGTGAGATCGCGGCAAAACATATAAATTCGGAGAAGCCCTACAAGAGGAAGGCAAATGGATAAAGGCCAGAGATGGGGGAAGCTTTATGTTGATGGTGGGTGTGGCGCGTACTGAAGGGCGCGGAGTTTGCCAGGAAATTTTATAATTTGGTTCCGATAAGTCTAAGAAACCGGTAAAGTGGTAGTAGTATCCTAGCGAAGGGAGGGTACGCATATCGGTGCGCCTGAACCGCTGAAAGTGGGCAATTTTGCCGCCAATCTCCAAATCGGAGAGGTCCCATAAAAAGAGGAGAGCGTAGAGAAGTAAGAGTGAGAGGGAAGGCTAAATTTTGATGTTGGGCGTAGTACCAAGTGGCGGAGTTTTCTCAGAAACTTTATGATTTGTTTGTGAGAGGTTTCAAGTAGGTAAAGGAGTAGTTAGACTCCAGCGAGGAAGGAAACTCACCCGTTATCGGTGTGCGTAGCGCGGACCAAAATTGGG